GTCATTCTAAGTGAAGTAAGCCAGAAAGAGAAAGAAAAATACCATATGAGATCACTCATATGTGGAATCTAAAAACAAACAAACAAAGCATAAATACAAAACAGAAACAGACTCATAGACATAAAATACAAACTTGTGGTTGCCAAAGGGATGGAGGGTGGGAAGGGATAGACAGGATTTCAAAATTGTAGAACAGATAAACAAGATTATACTGTATAGCACAGGGAAATATACACAAGATATTATGGTAGCTCACAGAGGAAAAATTTTATAATGAATATATATATGTTCATGTGTAACTGAAAAATTGTGTTCTACACTGGAATTTGACACAACATTGTAAAATGACTATAACTCAATAAAAAAATGTTTAAAAAATGTAAAATTAAAACAACCATAGAATGTACAACACCAAAAATGAATTCTAACATTAACTATGGACTCTATGTCATAATGACATTAATGGAGTTAGGAAAACTGGGTATCCACATGCAAAAGAATAAAATTGGAGCCTTATCTTACACCCTGTGCAAAAATTAACTTAAAATGGATTAAAGATCTAAATGTAAGATTGAAAAATATAAAACTCCCAGAAAAAAATAAGGGAAAAGCTTCATGATATTGCACTTGGCAATGATTTCTTGGCTATGACAGCAAAAGCATGTGCAACAAAAGTAGAAATTGAGAAATGAGACTACACTGAACTTAAAAAATTTTCATGCATTAAAAGACACAATCAACAGAGTGAAAAGCAACCTACAGAATGGCAGAAATGTTTGCAAATTACACGTCTGATAAGGCCTTAATACCCAGAATATATAAAGAACTCCCACAATTCAACAACAGCAAAACCAAATAACCCAATCTAAAAAATGAGCAAAGGACTTAAATAAACATTTTTTCAAAGATGATATAAAAATGGTCAAGGAGCATGTGAAAAGATACTCAACATAAACTAATCATTAGAGAAATGTAAATCAAAGCCACCATTAGATACCACATCACACCTATTAGGATGGTTCCTGTCAAAAAATTAGAAAATAATAAGCATTGACAAGGATATGGAGAAACTGGAATTTTTCTGCACTGTTGGTAGAAATGTAAAATGGTGCTACCACTATGAAAAAATATATGGAGGTTACTCAAAAAATTAAAAACAGAATTGCCATTTGATTCAGCAATCCTGCTTCTAGGTATATATATCCAAAAGAATTGAAAGCAGGGTCTTAAATAGGTATCTGCACACCCATGTTCATAGTAGAACTATTCACAATAGCCAAGAGGTGGGAGCAACCCAAATGTCCATGGACAGATGAATCAATAAACAAAACGTGATAATATACATACAACAGAATATAATTCAGCCTTTAAATGGAATGAAATTTTGTCACACGCTTCAACATGGATGAATCTTGAGGATATTAAATTAAGTAAAATAAGGCAGTCATAAAAAGACAAATGCTTTATGTTTCCACTTATATGTGTATTTAAAATACTCAAATTTATAGAAATGGTAAATTGAATGGTGTTACAAGGGGCTTGGGGAAAGGGGAAAAGGGGAGTAGTTGTTTAATAGGTATTGACTCTCAGATTTTCAAGATGAAAAATTTTTGGAGATCTATTTCACAACAATGTGAATATACTTAACACAATTGAACTAGATATTTAAAAATCGTTGTGATAGTAAGCTTTATGTTATTTTTTTTAATTATAATTTGAAAAAGCTGAAAGAAAAACGTGTATCTGAAAAATAACTGCAGTTATGTTTACGATCACATGTAATTGACTAAAAAACAAGTAGATACAGACACATGAAGCATATATGGTAGGAAGCCATGCGAGCCACTTTTGTGCCTAACCGTTAATGTTCCATGCACTGCTCTAACCTTTTCTTCCTCTGCAGAGGTAACACTGGAGATGAAAAGTTTCAGATGGTGCAACTACAGAATAGAGGACGGCCCCACAACCCACACTACACTTCATGTGAGTGAATAATAAATGTCTGTTGTCTCCAGGCTTGGAGGTTCCTGGCTTTGTTTGCTGTGTTGGCCAGAGTTTTACATTTTATTGAATATATGTCCCAATCAAACAACTGTATAATTTTAATATTTATTAATGGTCAGAAAAAATGACTATATGGAACATCTCTGCAGTTGACAAAACAGGAAGGACATACATTCCTCTGTGAAAATGTACATGATTTTATACATTTATGAATTTTTTTAAATTTAGGCAATTTTCTTATTTGATTAACTACTTTTCTGTCATTAAGAGAAAACAAAAGATGTATAATCCATTGCATTTTCCCCTTCTGCCTCAGTTACCTTCTTGCAGAGAAATAAGATTTATACTTTGTTTCAGTATCTTTTTCCAGTATAAAATTCCACTTAATTTTTCCCTTTCTTCCTCACTATTCAAATTAGCTCATTTTTATCTATATTTAAATGATTTTTAGTCATATAGCATCCTGCTGTTTCTTATAAACTATCTCAAACTGTCTTTGGAAACATACCATATAAACAATGTATAATAACAGCAATAAAAATAGCAATCAAGTCTTTAAAATTTCTGGTATATATTATATTGTCAATTACTCTATACAGAAAAATACCTTTAGGTTTTACTACTATTATATTTGACAGTAATATACAATAAGAGCAGCTATTTTGGAGATATTTAAATTTCCCATTCTTTGAATAAGATCAAATATACCACATGGTTATAAATCCTATGCACTGTATATTCATATAGAAATTTTTTCTTACTATTAAGATTGCTAAGAGGACAAAATAATCAGCAACAGTATTTCCAAAGTTCTGACTTTCGGAGCTTCTCTTATACATAAAGGACAACTGTGGAAGAAAAACAAGAGTTACATGAAAGTTTCTCTGCTTTACGAGTATAAACTTTTTACATTAAATATGCCTACATTGTACTTGATGTTCCATGGGACACTAGGGCATAGTCCATAAATTGGGATAAGCTTTGTTCTCTGATACTAAAGTCTGTTGTGAGCTGACACCCTTCCTTGATTATAATCTCCAACACTCTGCTTTCTGATTCTATGCATTAGAGATTTACAACTTTCTTTTTAGTGTAACCAAGTATAGAAATGTAAAGTAGGTGAGATTTGTCAACACTTCACCAAAATTCTCAGCAGTGCTTGCATTCTCTCAAAAGTGCTAACAGCAACATGCCTTCCTTTACCAATCATACATTCCAAAAGCAATTTACTGACTTAGTGGTGCACGTTCAAAGAGCACAACATGTCATATCTTCCAGGCAGTTCTATATTTTTAGAAAAGGTAGAAGTTTCCCATTTCATTTTTTTAAGCACAATAATTTCAGATATTTATCAAAATTGAAATGGAAAACTTCTACTTCATGCACAAAGAGTGTTTTATAACAGTGGAAAAAAGTTGTTTCTAGTTGTTTTTCACAAACCCCTCTCGGAATTCAGAAACCAAGGTTAGGCTTCCTGCTGCATTTCTAAATGGATTTACCTGCTTCCCTCTGGTTATGAATACAGGGCTCAGTGAATTTGACAACTTTCAACTTTATACAGTTTTTAAGTCTTACTTTCAGAACTTACCAGCAATTGAGTAATTTCTAAATTTTGTAAATGTACCAACATTGGGCAAAGATTTTATTCATGGGCTACACGGTCAAGGTCAGTAATACAGTATGCAATATTGCTTACCTGTATCAAATATACAAAAAAGAAAAGTGAAGTATGTGAAGGCATTAAAATCATGCATATAATTAAAGTGGTATTTCCAGTAGAAGTTGACTCCAAGATGATGGCTATAAATATTGAGATCTAGAAGAAATAAATCCAGAGATATAACTTGTTAAGTCATATTTAGTATTTTAAGACATTTTCTATGAGTAATCTCTTTTCCTAGGAAGATAGCCCTATTTCCAATTTTCCCCTTATATACAATAATGTTGTGAGGACTTCATCTTTAGGAAGCATCAGACTATCATTACAGCTGAAACACAGGATTACAATTAAGGCCTGACATATGCAACTAAAAGATTTTGTACAACCTAGTATGGATAGGCAAAACAATAAAAGGGAATGAAACATTATATACTTTGTAAACATATAAATCCTCGTATGCTTTCAGCACCAGAATACAATTAACACCTTGTTAAATGGTTTGTAGCTACCATTACTGTAGTTACAGAAATAAAGAAAGAAAGAAGGGAATAGAAACTTCTATTGAGCATATAGTATTTACCAAGTACTTTGATGAGCAATTTACCAGCACTATGGTAGTTAATGCTCTTTGAAAAATACAATCCTAAGCCTATAAAGTACTATTGTTACTATACATATTCTCTGAGGTTCAGATAACTGCACCTAAAAAACCTGAATAACTTGCCCAATGTCTTACAGCTATTCAATGCCAGATCTAGAAGCCAAACCCGGGGCTGTCTGACTCCAGAGCCTAAACTCCTAACCTCTGTATACTTTTGTAAGAAGATATTCCATGAGTCAACTGTCCACACATCAAGTCAGTCAGTTAACATATAATGTGTTAGGTACCAAGAACTTAAATATATGAAACTGATAAGAGAATTTAACAAGCATATAAACAGTGTTTACTCTGCAAGCACAAGAAATACTTTCTCAAGGAAAAGGCAGTATAAATGGAAATAATCTGAGGGTTCATCAGTTTATTCTATAACCTTGATCAGAATCTCATCAAATGTTTACTGGCCATACCATTTATGATTATTAAAGGTATTGCTCTAGCAAAATATGTGGCACTGTATCTTCAGTCTCATAGAAACCTGAAGCTAAACTTTCTAAATCTAACAATGCAGTGAAAGAACTTATCTTTGATCATTTTACTTCCTTCCTTTAATTCTTTCTTTTTATTATCTCACTGCACAAATTAGCCCATCTATATTGTCTAATCCATCAGAAAAATGAAAAGAATCTTTCCTTTAACACTTCTTTCTGATAAGCAATAATGGCAACAATACTTCAGTTAAGAAATAGTAAAATACTTCCTGTTTATACTTCCCCATTCTAGGATTTACTCTTCCATTTGCTATAAACTAGATGTTACATTCACTGCTTAAAAAAAACTGCAGTGTTACAAGTTGTGGACTTTTATATGCAGAAGTCTGCAGGAACAGATACCCTGAAAGACCTCACCCACATCATACAGTTAAATTTGGGTTATTAACACATGTCCTTTAAAGGCACTGCTAGTCCTAGAGAAGAAGTGAGAGAATTCTTCAAGGGCAAAAACAAAGCCTGAGACCTGACTTGGACAATTAAAAAGCACTGGCACGAATAAGCATTCCAGCTCAGGGATCAAGAGGCTAAGCATCAGGCCCTCCTTAAGATCCTTCTCTGCAAACAGCTACAGGGGGATAAAATAAAGCCCTCGTCACACATGTTCCTTGCAAATCACATACTAAGACATGATACTCTGAAATGGTTTATGCAATCCTAGGTGGGTTCTACACTCCACTTCTCACAAAAGTAACTGAAAATTCCTAGAGGATGAAACCATCCCCAATTTAGGATCAGGGACTTCCATACTTAAAAGTCAACCAAATATGAGCTCCCAATTAAGAAAAAAAAGTAAAACATGTAAGGCAACAAGCCACAGTAAGTGTGAATCAGGAGGAAGAAAAACAATAGATTAAAGATATCTGGAGACTTCATAGATAATAGAATTGTCAAATAACAAATACAAACATTATTTTCAATTAAAGATATAAGAAAAATTAAATGTAGAATTAAAAAACACAAGCTAGTAATAAAACACTGTGAGGAACAACTGGGCATATCTGAAAAAGAACCAAATAGTTTTGGAAAATAAAATTGAAGTTTTTAAAAATCAGCCAAAGATTAAAGATAACTTAGACACAGCTGAATAAAAAGTAAGTGAATTGGAAGAAAAGCTTGAAGCATTTCCCAGACTCAGCAAGGACAAGAATCTGTGGTGTTGGGAAAACTGGACAGCAGCATGTAGAACAATGAAGCTAGAACACTCCCTTACACCATCCACAAAAATCAACTCAAAATGGATTAAAGACTTAAACATAAGACAAGATACAATAAACCTCCTAGAGGAAAACATAGGCAAAACATTATCTGACATACATTTCAAAAATTTTCTCCTAGTAGAAATAAAAGCAACAATAAACAAATGGGACCTAATGAAACTTATAA